GCTGAACTTCCTGGCAGACCTCGCGCTAGATCAGAATTTATTCCATTCGCTACAAAAACTCCCCTAAAACTCTGCATGACAACATTGAAACCGACATAAAGTAGAGGCCTCCAGACCAAACACGCAGTTGTTGGGTCTGCGACCGTCGCACTTCCCTGACAAATGCCACAGGTTCTCCCTACGCTGGGTTGATCTTTTCAATGCACAGCGACCAATCGCCTCCTTAAGAGAGACCGTCGTCGGTTTGGACCACGCCGTCGTCATGCCAGATCCGTGATTGCCGTCCTTGTCAGCCTCCACTTATCCTCCTAACCTATATTTCGGTAACACGGAAAACATTCATGTCGCCGACGGAAATTCATATGGCCATTCATCTTGACTTAACTAATGACGATGATCACGGTAACTTGGCAGGGGCGAGCGATCTAGTTCAGCACTAAGGATGCTCATGGTAATAAAGGCTCACTTATTTCCACAAACCATCATAGATCTAACTTTAAATGCGCACAAATATTGTCCACTCCCCCGAACCCCTCCCCCTCCTCTTGCAAATATGGTATGTGAGCACCGGAAGATAAGCCAGTTAATGACAAGAGATATGTAACCCAAACAGATGACATTGTCGGCACCATACATCGCGTCCAAACCGACGCTTGCGCGCCGTCTTATGCGTTGATATTCGACGGGGTGGCGTTGGCGCCTGCGCTCAAGGCCCAGGGCTATCCATGCGGTCTGATTTTAGGAAGCCACACATTTTCGACAACATGATCTCGATGATGGAGAAGTACACCAACAACCTGGAGGTGCTGGTGGACGAGCGCACCAACCAGCTCATTGTTGAGAAGAAGAAAACGGGTGAGTGCGGCCAGGCACCGGTGATTACAGGCGGCGGGCGGAGCGCTTACGGGTCACGGGCGGCGGGTGAAGGGAGCTGTTACTGGTAACGGACGGCAGGCGGAGCTGTTACTGGTCACTGGTTACAGGCGGAGGGCGGAGGGAGCTGTTACTGGTTACAGGCGAAGGGTGGAGGGAGCTGTTACTGGTAACGGACGGCAGGCGGAGCTGTTACTGGTTACAGGCGAAGGGCGGAGGGAGCTGTTACTTGTTACAGGCGGCTGGCGGAGGGAGCTGTTACCAGTTACAGGCGAAGGGCGGAGGGGGCTGTTACTGGTTACAGGCGAAGGGGGGGGGGGGGGGGAGGGAGCTGTTACTGGCTACAGGCGGAGGGCGGAGGGAGCTGTTGCTGGTTACAGGCGGAGGGCAGAGGGAGCTGTTACCGGTTACAGGCGAAGGGCGGAGGGAGCTGTTACTGGTTACAGGCGGAGGGTAGAGGGAGCTGTTACCGGGTACAGGCGGAGGGCTGAGGGAGCTGTTACCGGGTACAGGCGGAGGGCGTAGCGGGCGCGTGGACGTGTGTCGGGATCAGACTGCAGCTGTGCAGACCGTAGTAGCCCCTTCCCGCGTGCTGATACCACTTAAGTTATGTGCACTGCATGAACCATGCATTGCACGTTCATCTAGATTCACTCATTGCAGAATGACAGCGAGGTGCCGATTTTCAACAACACCTTTGACATAAGGAACTACCAATGACAGCAAACACCGTGGGTACGTCCCACATTCCACAACGCACTGCGCCCAATATGCGCGCCCGTTAACCAAGTTCTGACATTTGGAAGCTATGCACCCGTGGCGCCAGCGAATGGTGGCGCAACTAACAGTACACATCCGGTCCACCAGAGGCGCTGCTGCACGAGATGCTGCCGCGGTACGTGGCTGACCAGCTGAAGCGAGGCAACAGCGTGCAGGCCGAGAGCTTCGACAGCGTCACCATCTACTTCAGCGACATCGTGGGCTTCACGTCCATGTCGGCGGAGAGCACGCCTCTTCAGGTGAGGATCCGATCCTCGGCACGAGATTGGTTAGGATCCTCAGGACGGGCGCCGGTCCGGCTCCTCAGAGCGGGCTCCCAACGCGGCCGTCATCTTCAGAGCAGGACACGGGCCACGGCAAGTACACATGTCAGGGTCCTTACAACAGCGCCTGATCGTCGTCCTCGGGTCAGGACACTGATCAGGGTCCTCAGATCAGGACACAGGACACGGTCCCCGGTGCAAGGCGCAAGTCATGTTCAAGAGCGGGGCACCGGCCAGAAACGGGAGTCGGGATAATGTCCACAGCATGAGACGCTGGTTTGGGACCCGAGCGCGGGACGCGTGTTCTGGTGCTTAGTGCGGATGTGGGTCAAGTCCTGCGATGATGATGCTGGTTAGGCCTCATGACCTCAGGTCTCATGTTTGGCTACCCAAAACCGGGCGTAGTTCATAATCTTCAGAACAGGGCGTAGGTCGGCATCCCCAGAACAGAGCCTTGCTTTAGATCTTCAGAACAGAATACGGCGAGGCACATGTCACAGTCTGGTAGGATGAAACAGAGGCAAGGATCACCAGCGCCGGACATGTGAGTCATGAGTCAGTCTGAGAGTCATGTGGGAACGCTGGATGCCAGCCGAGGCTTTTTTTCTTTTTTTATTTGAGTTCATTTTATAGGTCATTAGGTGTTTAGAACAGCACATAGGTCAGTGCCCTCTCTCCAACGCTGGATACCGCGCAAAATACTCATTTTCATACCGCGCAAACATTTGGTCAGTGTCCTCATCACAGGAGGCAGTCAACACCAGCGAGGTGCAAAGACACGGCATGCTGACGCAGGTGACCAGGAAGGAAAATCATACAGTACATGTGACGAGGGTACCCGCGTTTGCAAGAAAGTTTCAACATTGCGATTGTTACCTACTGTGACGTTTTAATGCTTTTTCACAGACGTAATTTGAATACGACTAGAAAAACTTGAAAATAAGATGATATCTAGAACTTGAATTTGAACTGATTTGAACAGGTAAATAATCGTCGCGCTGTCGGTTTGGTGTGGCAGCATTATTTGCGTCAGTTTTACCCTTGACTGCATATGATAAAATCTGTTTGGTTTAATTTTCATGATCACTCCACAGGTGGTGGATTTCTTGAATGATCTCTACACGTGTTTCGATTCCATCATCGATAACTACGACGTGTACAAAGTGGAAACCATCGGTGATGCCTACATGGTGGTAAGCATCTAATTTAGATGTCCTCAAAGCACGTAGGGCACTTCTGATTTGTGAAGTATTTTTGTGGGAATAATGACACGTGTGGAGGCATTCTATGGCCTTCGACATATTAAAGAACTCATGGTGCATTGGCACCGAAGGATAATGTTGTGTGAGTGCGTTGGACAACGTTATTTTTTGCGTTGTTCTTTTGAAGCTCCGCTTACTTGGTTTGCTATGTGCCGTACCAACATGATGTGTTTCCATCGAACTCAATAAACAATCAGCTGACTGTAAAACTCCCGCCCGGATCAGAACCCTCTGTTTGCTGTGCGTCACCTGAACCGGATCTGGCCTGTGGTGACGTCACACGTCCCAACAATGACGCTCGATACCTGGTGGTGGCATGCGGTCCCCTGTGACAATACATGCACCCTTGTGACGTCAGGCGCCCTTGTGACGCCATGCGTCCTTGTGACGTCATGCGCCGTTGTGACATGGGCCATTGTGACGCTACATGCGTCCTTCTGACACTGCATGCGGCCTTGTGGCACTACATGCGTCCTTGTGGCACTACATGCGGCCTTGTGGCACTACATGCGTCTTTGTGACACTACATGCGTCCTTGTGACACTGCATGCGTCTTTGTGACACTACATGCGCCCTTGTGACGTCTTGCGCCGTTGTGACGTCATGCGCCTTTGAGACACTTTGTGCGCCCTTGTGACGTCACACGGCCGCCTGTGCCGCGTGGCCAGGTGAGCGGTCTGCCGGTGCGGAACGGTCTGCAGCACGCGGGCGAGGTGGCCTCGATGTCGCTCCACTTGCTGGAGGCCATCCGACGCTTCACCATCCGGCACCGGCCGCAGGACACGCTCATGCTCAGGATCGGCATACATACCGGTCAGTGGCCGCTGCGTGGGACGCGGACGCGCGCGATCGGCCGCGCTCGGCGGTGGAAAACGGTCCGCGGTGGAAGGCAGTGGACAGGGAAGGGGGGTGGAGGTTGACGCGGGTCCCACGGGGAGGGAGGACCGCACCGGGGGGTCACTGTGGCGGTGGAAAGTGGTCCGCGGTGGAAGGCAGTGGACGTGGATGGGGAGGTGGGGTGGGGGGGAGGGGGGGGGGGGTTGACGCAGGTTCCACGGGAAGGATGGCACCCGGGGATCGATGTGTACGATGGACCTGTTGCATTCGCTCTGCAGCCAGAGACGCAAGGGTCACAGCATTTATCAGCGCTTAGTTGACTCGCAAACGGTGCTGGTAGGATTGTCAGCGGTGTTGATGAATATCCAAATTGACGACTTTCTCACACGTCGTCATGTGATAGTATTTTAAGTGGCGTTTTGACATAAAAAGGCTGAAATGCACAATTGTTCACAAAATTAGTTCAGTCGATTCATTCCAAGTGCAATTGGTTATGCTGTACACGTGAAAATGTTAGCCAACTTAATCGGATATTAGGTTAACGGTATGGTCAAAGATCGGTACATAGTGAACTGGAACAAACAAAGATGAATAATTGGGAAATCAGCATAATGCTACCAAAAGTAGGCTATGAGCCCTTGGAAACAGATGTTCTGTGCTAGCTTTACGATGAAACCCACAATTTCTGACACTTAACGGTTTGGCGGCTTTTTTCCTTTCTCCAGTCTTACAGGTGCATATTTTTTCCTGAAAATTTTCATTTAAAGCGCCTTGGTGCTAGCACAGATTTCGCGTCATATCCCGTGCATCCCTTTTGCCAAACATGTGCATCTCTTTGGCACCGTATAGGTCCCTTCTTGCGTAAATAATGTCCGAAGTGCAAAATTCTGCATTGAAGTGCCGAAGAGTGTCCCTTATTCCTGTACTCGTGCATAGTTGAACATTTCGCTGTCCGCAATGTTCCATTTTACATACCGTGGAACCACCAATGCTATGCTGCTTTTGTTGCGTTGCAAAAATTATACTCATGTTGCAACGACCTGATTCACCAGGAGTATCAATTATCAACTGAGTATCAGTTTACCTTCGTAAACGCAAGGCATTGTGCGTAATCCCGGGGGTATCACTACCTTCGCTTCTCTACCACATTCCACTGGAAGTCCTCCCAATACCAGGCTCTTTATCACCCCTTTGCATGGCACGTGTTTGAACTTTTGACGTAATATGTAAGAAAGATGTTTTGGAAAATTGAGGAAATTTTCCGACCCGCTTTAGGCCGTTTGCAAAAAAAAGTGAAACAAATGTCGCGGAACATTATCCCACCTACCTGGAACGGGACTATTGAGCAGCAGCCGGTTAAAAAAGCTAAATACCAGGCTTGTTTATTACTCGGTGCGTTTTTATGACATGCATGTATTGGCTTCATCATTTGTGCCAACCGTCAATTGGCGACATGATTTTAGCATATTTAGCGCACCCGAGTGCCAGCGTGCGCTGCGGTCCTGGGTGGGAAGATGCCGCGTTGCTGACAACCTCATTTGAGCTCATGTTGCGAACCCTCAGGTCCAGTGTGCGCCGGAGTGGTGGGCAGGAAAATGCCACGTTACTGTCTGTATGGCGACACCGTCAACACGGCCTCCAGAATGGAGTCCACCGGAGCACGTGAGTTTAACCCGCGCTGATCGCGGCCATCTTTGATTTGCTGACAAGGTCGAAGCTCACGCGGAACAGATATAGCTCGGTCTCTGTAGTTTGTCCTGTGAGGCTGGTCAGCTGGTGACGTTGTGCTCTTTGTATTGAAGCTGGGATTTTCCAACACTCTCCAAAGTTGCGATACGTAAAACCACTGCATTGCTTGGTGATAGACTTTGGACACAGCCAAAGTGGCGACTGAGTATTCACTGCAGTCGCCGCGGGCCTGGTTTGTATGGTCTGGCAGGGAACGCTTCCAGCTTAGCGCGACAGCAAGCATGAGCCCGACATATCGCTCCGCGCCACGGCTGTCTACGCCAACGCAGTGCTAACGACACCCCCCGAATGACGCCAGTAACGCAGCGTTCGCCCGCGTCGGCAGCGCTTCGAATCCACTGCAGCGCCTCGTGTCGAGCTGTGCTGATGCGCCTCGGCGGCTACCAGCTGGAGGAGCGGGGGAAGACCCACCTGAAAGGTCAGCTCCCCGTCCTGCTCGAGGCCTCGCCGCCTTGTCAGCATCCTGACGCTTCCGCCGGTGGTCGCTGTGCAATGCTACCCTGCCTGTTCTTGAACGAAGTACGGTGGCGTTGTTTTTTCGCGACTTCTTTGCAGTTACACCCGTGTGAGGCGTTTTGGGGTCTTTTGATGCCTCCCTGTTGATGTATAGCACAAGCACACCAGTACACCAGTAAGTACATCAGACACTGGTGTAGACTGCATGGGCTGGCGTACACTCTACACAGCAGTGTGTATATTGCCATCAGCCACACGCCTGTTGGGGTGTGGGATGAGAGAGAGAACAGCGGGTGTCCTGATCATGTCAACAGCCCCAAAACATCGGTACGTGGAGCCAGTCGTGTTTCTGAGACCCTACAAGTGTTTGTTGTAATTCATGCAGGTGGTCCATTGCACCGTCCAAGTGCGTATGAATATTCCTCTTTCACGAGCGTAGCAGATACGACTGTAAGGTATTGAGAGCATTGCACTTGTTTTGCACTTTGGATCATTTTGTTGTTTATTTGGATAAGTTGCTTTATCTTACTTCGATTATGTTTTGAAAACGTGTTTTTATTTATATCAAATAGTAGAATACATCTAGTGTCGCTTACAGCAGATCGGAAACGTCAAAGATTTTATTTAAGTTCGATTTTTGTCTCCTTGCATGCATTTTGCCCTTAGGTTAACAAGCGGCACTTCTTGAAAAGTATTTCAGTCCGTAACCTTGTGCCATTGTGCCAAGCGGTGGTGAGTCTAAAACGTACAGAGGGAGCAAGATATATCCGGTTTCTGTTCGTGGTCACTTTCGGAAGTACCAGCACAGATACGCAGCTGCCATGGCCAGAGAAATCGTCAATAATGCATTACACCCCTTGCCTTAAACGCCGTCAGTCCCTCTCGCATCAATTTGGGTTCGTTTGGCCACTCCACCAACCTGCCCCTCAAATTATCACCTGGAGTACTAACCCGCTGACATAAATATCGTGCATCATATTGAATCATCACAAACATTACGCACATTAGGCAGCTGTCGTGCATTTTTCCCAATATCGTGATTCACGACGCGGCGGTATGTGTCTCGGCCTCATATTGCCATAGCCTACGCCTGACCTCTCTCGTGGACCTCGTGCATCTACAGCCTCTACCAAACAAAAATATACCCCCCCCCCCTCCCATGATCAACTGGCACACCGTTTTGCATAAGCATGCACACATTTGCAATGATCCCAACACTAGGCTCAAACAAAACGAGCGGTTCTTTGTCCCTAAATCAAACGTGTGATTCGTGCGTCATTCAACTGGGCAACCGAGGAAAGAAGCCAACATAAAATTCGTATTTTTACACGGAGATGCGTTTGTGCCAACCACGATTAAGAAGTATAGGGAAACAAAATACCGAGGTGAAAAAAATGCAGCGCACATGAGACTACCTTGCGTGACGCCGTCCCTCGGCGGACGCCGTGTCCGGCGACCAGGTGTGAGTACTTACTGCACGTGCGGGGCCGCCCTGTGAACGAGTGTCGCACGTACGGTCCGGTGCGTGCCTTTGAATGAAAGTGGCTCCGGCGGCATTATTTGGGAGCAACGACTTCAGCCAGGTGATGTCTGAGGGCACAGCGGTTTGATGTGAATGTCAAAACACCGGACACGCCCGAGTGCGAGCATTTGACAAACCCCACTTCCAGGTGCGTGGGTAGAGATTTGGCAAGGCTTCAGACTTCATGACACTTAGGGTTGCAGCGGCGGATTTGACCCGTTCATTGACGAAGTTTCGGGGAGTTTTGCATACCCCGAACTCCGCGCTGCACGGCCTCCCCCTCCCCCTCCCCAAACTGATGTTGCGAAACTACGTCAGGATGGCTTTGATACTGTGTAGCTTTCATTTTCTCTAGCTGCTGAGAGTGGACGTCGATTTCTAAAAAGTGCCCAAGCCGGTGGATCCCTAGTCTGCGTTCGACCGCGCACGACCGGCTTCCGCGCCGATCCTCGCTCCTGCCAGTGCGACGATCCGTTCACGTTTTCGCCGCACGGTATTGTTTTCGTGTTGCTGCGACACCTGGCGCCTGGTTCCAACCCGTGATCCGAAGGCCTCCCGTTGTTTCCCGAGCTTACATTTCCAAAGGCAGTCCGCTGAGGCCAGAAACGCAAATTTGTGGTTATAGTGCAAGTTTCTTGTGGGTAGGAGTAGCATCCATAATGATTGGAGGTTAGTTATGTGTGTCCTGCACATGTTCCATTGTTCATTGACTTGAGAGGTGTCACCAAGCGTCATAATGAAGTTCTACCGCTGGCATTCCGTTTTTTCGCCTGGGCATCGGCTTGGAATTACATTTCAGATGCCCTCATGATAGCCATGCAATCACACGTTGGCATTTTCGACTATTCTGCTCATGCCAGCTCCATAAAAAACGCATTCAGGCCTGCTGAAAAAGGTACGGCGGAAGGTGAAACATTCCCGTCCTTTGGCGTCGAGAAAAGCTCGGACAACAGCCTCGCCTGCCATCCTAACCAGCTGATTTATCTCGAGTGCGCACGGACTGGCTGCGTTGGCTGACCTCTGCCTCACCTCTGCTGCAGGAAAGGGTGACGTCACCACCTTCTGGCTGGTGGGCGAGGATGAGCGGCGGCAGGCCCGCCGACTGCAGAACAGTACAAAGCTGCGCGCGCAGAAGCAAATCCGGTAGGTGCCGCTTGTGGCAGCCAACAAGCTCCGCTGCTTCGTCACAGACTTGTTGAAACATCTTTCTTCATCTCGCTTGATGGTGCACTTATTGCATGCTTTGCACGCTTGTGACCAGGATGATGTAGTGTGTCTTTATCACAGGGTTTTGGTTTCGTCCGCGGAATGCAAAGCCATTTCGGTCTCTGCGACCTGGCCATAAATGATAATCGCACGCGAGATGAACCTCAGGAATAAAGAGGCATCGCTAGGCGGAAGCATTTTGTTCGCACCCTAGCCACCTGGAAGGGTTCTTTATATCTTCTGATTGCACATGTGTCGTGGGAAGAATTAGATATCATGCAACAGAATTTATGGGTTAAGCATTTGATGCAGCATGCTTTCTAGTTCTAGAACTGTCCTCGTTGCAAAACATCTCCACCTGCTTCCCCCCCCCCTCCCCCCCCCCTCTGCCTGGTAGTCTCATAGTCTGCTGCTAACGGTCTCGCGTCGAAGTTATCAGTGATGCCGCCATTTTGTTTCGGCAGGGTGCTGCGCTCCCGCGGCGGCATGGAGCGGACACACAGCCTCGAGTCGACTCGGCGGCTGCGGTTCGAGCTGGACCAGCACAGCGAGCGGCGTCACGTGGCGCGCGCCACGCTCGACACCAGGTGCGCGTGCGACGCAGCCAAGCGGCGCTCCTGTCCGTGCATCCACGAGCTGGACGACGACCACGAGTCGACGTCACCAGGGGGCGGCGGCGGGTCGAGTGGCGACCTTGAGACGACCTTGGGCGGGAACACTGATTGGCTGACGGTGGTAGTGGCGGATGACGCGTCGCGCTCTGATTCGGCGCTGTATAGCGTGGTGCGCGCGCGACCCGAGGTCGAGAACGTGGCATCGGACTTCACGGAGAGCGAGCCGCTGCTGGCGACGGCGGCCGACAAGCACGAGACGCAGATATAGTGACGCCCGTGGGTTCGATCCTCGTGCGGGGCGTAAGTGTTTCGGGAGCAATTTCCGAAGTAAGCACACTCGTTGGAGTCCACATGCCGGTCAGGTCGGCAACAATCAGCTTATCAGACAGGGAATAAGAATGAACTGGTACCGAGCTAACTTTTGGCTGTTTTACCCCACATATCGACTGGCTTGGAGCGGTCTCTCAATTGTATGTGGCTTTCATGCGGTGAAGTCGCATACTTTGCATATATGTCGACTCGCCAAGGCCACTGTGGAACACACGCTATGCGTTCAGCTATCTGACATTTCTCACATTAGCATGGAAACGTTCATGCATGGAATCATTGGACACGTATATTTGTTTGTATCGCTTTAGCCATAAGTGTAGTGGAGCTGTCTGTATAAATACCGCACGTCATGCATCATCCAATCTCTCATCTGTAACACAACATGCCACGTACGTACTGAATGTATAGACGTTGTCCATGCACATACAATCATGTTACCGGCGGACAGTGAGTCGTAACCGCGTCGTCACGTGAAAACTGCTTGCGGGAACGCACCGTGTGCTTCCGCCGACCGTCGCGTGATGGCGCCACGTGACAACCCGCCGCGCGTTGGGCGCCACCCGCGGTGTCCGCCCTGCGGACGCGGCTCGCGCTGGGGCCGTCTCGCCGGCGCGTGGCGTCCAAACGCCGGCGAAGACAGGTGTTGACTGTGACGTTGCCGGGGTGTTCGGCGGCCGCTGTATATGGTAGACAATATTTTCGACTGTGAAATACATGGCGTACGATGTTTGTCGACTTTGCTGCGGTTCGATAGCGGTGAGTGTGGCGCAGCTGTGCGCTGCGCCGAATATGCCGCGAGATAGCGGGCCTTGTGGACGATTTTTTGGCCTGGGAACCCTCGCCTCACGCAAGGACAGGTGCACTGGGACGCTGGGAAAGGAGCAGATGTCGGCGCAGCACGCCCCTGGAGACCGGATCGTTCGCTAGCGTTAGGAATGTCTCGTCATGCATCCAACTGAAGTCAGCTTATATGACTTACAATTGTGCTGGACTTACCCTATAGCCACTTCGCCTTTCATCGCTATGGCTAAGACAGCGTGATTCGCGAGAAGAAATGATGCTGAGCCTTTTTGCGGCCACAGTTATATCTGAGCCGTAATATGACCTTGAGCGATAGCAGAAAAATCACATGAACCGCCGTCTGATGCGTCAGAAGCGGCTGCGCTGCTTCGGAGGCTTGCCGAGCTCCAGCCAATCTGCGGAGAAGCGATGAGGTCCGCAGGGCTGTGTCTCTTGGGTCTGGCGCTGACGACCGTCTGCCTCACGGGTGAGTTGGACTTCTGGATGGCATGGCACCGGCAGTCGGGCAGATATTGCTTCCGGCAGTCGAGCAAGTCTTGCTTCCGGCAGTCAGGCAAGTCTTGCTACCGGCAGTCGGGCAAGTCTCTCTGGCGGCAGTAGAGCAAATATCGCTGAAGGCAGTCAAACAAGTGTTGCTTCCCGCAGTCTTGTCGGGCAAGTCTTGTCGGCAAGTCAGTCGGGCAAGTCTTGCTACCGGCAGTCAAGCTAGTCTTCCTGCCGGCAGCCGAGCAATTCCTGCTACTGACAATCGAGCAGGCTTTGCTTCCCTATCGCGCGTCTCATGGGCGTCTCATGGGCGTCTCATGGGCGTCTTATGGGCATCTCATGGGCGTCTCATGGGCGTCTCGTGGGCATCTTACGGGCGTCTCATGGGCGTCTTATGGGCGTCTCATGGGCGTCTCATTGGCGTCTTATGGGCATCTCATGGGCGTCTCATGGGCATCTCATGGGCGTCTCATGGGCGTCTCATGGGCGTCTTATGGGCGTCTCATGGGCGTCTTACGGGCGTCTCATGGGCGTCTCATGGGCGTCTCATGGGCGTCTCATGGGCGTCTCATGGGACGTCGAATGCCCCACAAACGCACCGACTGAACTGCGCATGGACTTCGGTCACATCAGCTCTGTGAGCGAGGAGACCGCTGCATGCACCGCACGGCTGTCGCGGGATTCCCTGAGATCCGCTGCTGGAAGCAGGCGACGGACCGAGGCTGCTAACGCCGGTCAGTGCTGCTGGTGACAGATCTGCGCTCCAACGCTCCCATCTTGATGCCACCGGCGTCCCAAACGAGGGTCACGGTGACAACAACAAAAAATGTTGCGCGGGGCAATATAGCAATCTGTGGCAATAGAGTAACCTCCCTGCGATGCATTTTGTGTCGATCTGGGCGTTTTGTGTGCATCCCCACAAGTTCGTACGTTAGAGCCGTATAACTCCGTGATAAGGACAATGCTCACATGGAGTTAACGCTGGCGGCTATCCGTCCCCAAACCTGTGGTAATGTTTTGGTAGTTGTTGGGGTGCTTTTACCGCTCCTGACATCCTTAATCTATTGTGAACGCGTCAAAATCAAATGATATTAGGTTTATCAGCCTAAGTTTACACACATACGTTGGATGGTTTGAAATGCGAATGTTGTCTCACTTCTCGAATTGTCAGTCTCCCCCAAACCACCGCACACCCCTCCCTGGTCCTGCGGCAGAGGACGTGACGGTGTGGGGAGTTTCACCTCCCTCCCCGGTCCAGCGGCAGGGGACGTGACGATGTGGGGTGCTTCACCTCCCTCCCCGGTGCAGCGGCAGAGGACGTGACGATGTGGGGAGTTTCACCTCCCTCCCCGGTCCAGCGGCAGGGGACGTGACGATGTGGGGTGCTTCACCTCCCTCCCCGGTGCAGCGGCAGAGGACGTGACGATGTGGGGTGCTTCACCTCCCTCCCCGGTCCAGCGGCAGGGGACGTGACGATGTGGGGTGCTTCACCTCCCTCCCTGGTGCAGCGGCAGGGGACGTGACGATGTGGAGTGCTTCACCTCCCTCCTCGGTGCAGCGGCAGAGGACGTGTGCTACGATGATGTGGGGTGCTTCACCACTGACTACCCCTGGAGTGACGTGCGTCGGCCCTTCTCCAACCTGCCGCAGTCGCCGGAAGAGCTGCGCACCCGCTTCTTCCTCTACACCAGGTGCGCGCATGTCTGACCCAACAGTGCGAACCGTGGAATTGTGCAACCCGCTTCTTTTAGAAAGTTGTTTTCTTCCTGCATCGCATCAGTTCATCTATTATTTGCACGTCATCGCTGATGTGAATGAGCTAGTGAGTATTGCAGCTCAAAATGGTGCAAACATTGCTTTAAGTGGCTCAATATTGCTGATTCTAGAGGCCTGACGTCACCAACTATATCGCAGATTTATGTGCATGTTTCATCACTGAAATCCTTGCACCTAACGCAGGATGAAATCCTCTTTACGGGCAGAAACGCTCCAGAGAAGACACTGATCGCGTACAACGGCACAGATTTCGGCGACTTCTCACCGGGTAGAAAAACCATGATCATCGCACACGGCTTCACGGACAGCGGAGACTCTGGCTGGATGAATTCAGTGAAGAACCTCGTCCTGGAACAGGTAATGGTGGTCTGGAGGCTGGTACTCGGCCATCCTTCTAGACTAGAAGGCTTGTTAGCGAGCAAACGGGCCGTCGCTGCTGGCGCGGCGGCGGCGTCTCCGCGATGGTGTGAGCGGCCCCTCTGTCGATTGGTCCCCACCATCTGAAGCCCATGTGTGGGCCACGTGGGTTTATGGGGACACGCGGGCGGGGACGCACGGTCCCTGCCGAGCAGTCCACGTTCAGGCTCCGACGGCGCGGCTCGACGCGAGCCGCGTCAGCGTTTACGACGACGACGACGACGACTTTGGGGTGGGCGACGCCGCCCTTCCAACCCCTCTCTTACACTCGCCTTGCAACTCCTTGGCTTATAGAGACTCTTCCTTTTCAACGTCTGTTTTCAAATCAAGTCGATGGTCCTCCGGAATACTAACGAACTCTTTCGCACGAACATTCTGGTCCTCCGGAATACTAACGAACTCTTTCGCACGAACAGGGCTACCCACCTCGCCAGGGGCGTATTTTGCTATTCAGTTGACACTTTCCCAAACACTGAGAGGAAAATGGCCAGTCTTCTCCGAGCAGTGAATGACTTATATATTCACAGCTGTTGTATGAAAAAACCAGCCATTGCACATACGAAAAGTTGTGAAAGGAGACAGATGCCTGGAGCAGGCTGGTATACCGAGGAAGATGTATCTCAACTAATTTGGTCACTATCCCATTCATCAATTCACGAGCGATGAGCCCCTTGACATGCCAGCAGTTGGAGCTTTGCGGGTCAATTTCCCAAAGTGAAACAATCCTCCCCTTAACTAGGGTACCGATTTCTAAACATTGTCTCACCACGCTTCTATCGCATTGACATACAGTTATGACCTAGGCAGCTTCTTCTGAGAGAAACCACGCTTTGTTGAGATGCCCTAGACTGAGGTGCTGCCCCGGCTCCTAACTCGCAGTGTAAGCTGTTCAGTGCATTCGCGAGGAACATTACTCACAAATATAAGACAGTGGTAATAGCCTTTTTCCTCGGAGAAAAACCAGGGGAATAGAGAAATGGATTGCTTGATATTTGCAATTTATGGCAATATTATGGCAATGTTATATTGTATATATATATATATATATATATATATATATATATATATATATATATATATATATATGACAATATTATGGCAACATGCCTTTATCGAAACAATAGAAGAAGTGCAATATTACTACTACTGTATTTCTATTGTCTTATCTAATTCACAGTGGGACTACAACGTAATCCTCGTGGACTGGGAGCTCGGCGCCAGCATGCCCTATCTGCAAGCCACCGCCAACAGCCAGCTGGTGGGACGGCAGGTGGCGCTGCTGGCGGCCGCACTGCAAGATATAGGCGCTAGTGTCGCAGACCTCCACCTGGTGGCACATAGTCTTGGCTGTCATGTCGTCGGGTATGCCGGAGCGCGGACTCCCGGACTGGCGCGAATCACAGGTACGCGGCAGGCTTTATATGTCTTTATGTATGCATGCTTACATATATATATATATATATATATATATATATATATATATATATATATATATATATATATATATATGTGTGTGTGTGTGTGTGTGTGTGTGTGTGTGTGTGTGTGTGTGTGTGTGTGTGTGTGTGTGTGTGTGTGTGTGTGTGTGTGCATCTGGGTGTGTGTGTGTGTGTGTGTGTGTGTGTGTGTGTGTGTGTGCGTGTGTGTGTGTGTGTGTTCATATGTACAATCCCTTTCTCTCTCCCTCCCTGTCCCTATCCCTCCCCTCCCCCTCCTCTCCCTCCCCTCTCTCTCTATCTCTCTCTCTCTCTCTCTCTCTCTCTCTCTCTCTCTCTCTCTCTCTCTCTCTCTCTCTCTCTCTCTCTCTCTCTCTCTCTCTCTCTCTCTCTCTCTCTCTCTCTCTCTCTCTCTCTCTCTCTTCTCTCCTCTCTCTCTGTCTCGGGTCGATCATCGGTCTTCTCTCTCGGTCCTCTCTCTCTCTCTCTCTCTCGGGTCTCTATCTCCTCGCGTGTGAGAACACATCAGTCAAAATGGCGTCGTTCCGCAGGCCTCGACCCTGCCCAGCCCTACTTTGAGGGCACGCAGCCGGAGGTTCATCTGGACGCTACGGACGCTGAGCTGGTGGATGTGATTCACACGGATGGCAGAAACATCATCTTTATTGGCATCGGCTTCACGCAGGTGAGCGCTCAGAACGCGCGCGTGTCAAAAGATGGCAATGCATTCAGAGCATTGGTGTACTTTTTCGGTTTGAAGGTTTTTGCCTGCTTGATTTTTTAGTTTAACACAGCTTGGGAAGTTGAATCTTGGTTTTTACATCACTATTCGTCTTGCTAAATATCTTGATGGCGAACTGCATTGCGACCACTGATCGCAAGCAATATCCCAGTCAGTTTCTGCCACGTACGTACATTGAGTGGAATTGTTCAAATATATGTTCCGTGTTGCGATGGGTTCAACAGTCACTCATTGTTAGGCGGTTTTCCTTGCATCTTATGGAGGAGTGACCTCAGAAAAATCAGTCGTGGAACTAAAAATGTAAGTGGTTACTTGAAAAAACGTGGCAATGCATATACTTACCAAACTTGTCGCCTGTCGTAATTGCCGCTGCGTGCGAAAACCCTCACAGAGATGCAGACATAGTCTCCCTCGTCGATGCTTCCACGGAAATATTTCCTACCACAATCACCTTCTGTTGGTAATAAGTCGCCTGGGTACATAAACTGAGCTAATCTAGGACATCTTACTCTGGAATAGGAAAAACATTAAGCCTTTTTTGCTGGAGGCCAATATCCTGGCGATGTGTAACGGAATTTGGACAGTACGCACGCAGCACACTATCCCGTGTCACCCACGATTACCTGCTCATAACCCGTCGTCCGTCGGGCCGAAGGACTTCGTCATTGTGACGTCAGCACGGGCCGCCCCTGGCCTTCCCCTTGTCAGCGTCGCATTACACGCGTCGGGTCGAGTCTCAGTTTTATTCAAGTGCTGCTACTGGAAGCGGGACCCGACACTTCTGTTGAAATGTCCGTCTCAGCGTCTAACAATAAATTCTTGCGTCACCTCGGCTTGGGGAAGAAAGATGATCACGCCGTCTCTCTGATCGTTTTGATCTTCAAGTCAACTTCCGTGTCACGTGGTTGTGGTCGTATCTATTGTCAGGTGCTTTACGAAACGGGCCGTCGGTTCCCCATAGAGATCTGAAGGCCCATAACGGGTCGTCGCTTCCCATAGAGATTGAAGAACTCGGCCGCCTCTGGTGCTGGGTGGTGTGCTGTAGACACTGTCGTAGGGGGTAACGTTGACCGAAGTGGTGAGGTGAGATATTGTTTTAAAAAAAAAACACTGGACTTAGCACAAAGTTTGAGGTTTCATTGACTCGCGAGGCGAGCTGGCACGAGCAGGATCGCTGCTACTCTATAGCATCATACTAGGTAGTTAGAAATATTCAACACGGCTGCTTTTGGTTGAGACGCTGGGATCTTTCGCCCGGAAAAATAAACGTCCCGCGTGTCGACCACTGAGTCCCGTTGCTTTGTGAGTCGATTATTTTCAGCCTCATCACTGGATGCACCATCACAATTCCTACGCTGCCTACGCTTTCAGCACAGGACGCGTCTGACATCGGTGTGTTGTGTGGAACAGGCTTGCGGAGACGTCGACTTCTTCCCCAACAACGGGAAAAACCAGCCGGGCTGTGGCGACTTCGAGGAGAACATGGCCGGACTGATCTACGACCTGGAGACTCTCGACATTAAAGGTGACCTGAGACCTGGAGACCTTGACCTCGGAAGTGGTCAGGGGCCTGGGGCCTTCGACGTTCACGGTGGTCTGGGATCAGGAGACCTTCGACGTTCATGGTGGTCTGGGATCAGGAGGCCTTCGACGTTCACGGTGGTCTGGGATCAGGAGGCCTTCGACATTGCTGATGGTCTGGGATCAGATTCAGGAGGTCTTCGACATTGCTGGTGGTCTGGGATCAGGAGGCATCGTTCGCCGTCACATGTGATCCGGGACCTGGAGTTTTGACTTCACATCCATTCTCTACAAGCCTTTGGGAACTTTGGGTGCGGAATCATCCGCGTGTTTATGCAGGCGCGCCTTGGTTGGCAATGGTCATTACTCTTTGGTAATGACCATTGCCAACCTGTGACCAATGAACGCGTCTTGGTTGGCAATGGCACTGGGATCAGTTCAGTCACGTTCGTTTCATGAAGACGATGACGTCTTTCTTATTTCCGTCCGCACGCCACACTCCTGCGACCATCAACACTTGTTGCCGGCAGACATCAAGCGCCTGTTCGGCTGCTCCCACGATCGCGCTCACGAGCTGTTCGAGGCGACGCTGCGCGAGCAGAACTGTCCGTTCGTGAGCTTCAGCTGCCGCGACCACGCCGAGTACGAGTCGGGGGAGTGTCAGCGGCTGGACACGGCAACCATCGGCCGCATGGGCATGGATAGCGTCCGCTTCAACCTCAGCGGCTCCTACTACCTGGAGACCACGAACGACGAGGGCGCCTTCTGCAGTACGGTTTGACGCGGTGACGGTATGGCGCTGTGTGACGGCGGTGCAGGGGGTGCCTTCGGCTAGTTCGATAGAAGGGTAGTAAATTCGATGTCGGCCATTCCATGATACGTATTGCATTGCTTCAGTTTGTGATGTAATTTTCTGTTTTTGACGTTAAAACAGTAAAATAAAAAAGATCATTGTCAAGCAGGGGAAAGGAAAGCACTTGCTTACTAAATGTAGAAATTGCAAACGCATTTCCATGACGGTGCAGTCGTATTAGGTGTCGTAAGAGTGACGGGACGAATTTTGTTCGTCCACTTTTGCTCCAAAGTGATTCGTTTTCTTTGCGCTTCGGCTAACTTTTTGCCTTCTCTACTGATGTGGTATTAATGGTCGGATTGGTTTTCGACGCAGAAAGCAAGAGGTTTTCGGAAAAAGGGGTACATTTTTAACCGATCTTGCATATCTTACTTCAGAGCAGGTGCTTATAATTTTGGCCACCTCGGGAGCAGTGGCCACATTTCACAAGGGTGTAGTTTTATGTAGATGTATTTTTCATGCACTTGTGTGGTAATTACAGCTCCTCCCTAGTCCCCCATGCCCAGCTTCTTTCATGCAGCTCACGTCCATACATATAGCCTCGCATTCTTCCCGTTGTTTAGATAGAGGGGACCTAAAATTTTCAGACCCCCAATTCTGAATACGAATACGTGTCTAAACTGACCATGAAGCTGTGCCTCTATAGGCTACCCCGTTCCCGAACAGCAAGGCCAAACCAGTTTGACAATGCTTTCGGACCAAGCGCCTTGACTCTGCTTAGACTATTGCTGATTAAGCGTGGTTCTGCCGCTAGTGCACTACCTGGAGGTGCTGATCCAGCTCGGAGATGACCAGGAGGAGATACACGGCAACATCGTCTTCGTCATCGAGAGTAGCGGCGCGACGTCGGACCTGCTGCCTGGCTGGAGGTGAGTCCCAGTGGAAGTCAGCTGGCGTTTATTGGCGCAACCTTTCCATGACATGGCTGTTATGGCTGTTGTGATGGCTGTTATGTTGGCTATTATGGCCGTTATGTGACATGGCTGTTATGAGTTGCTTGTTCCCAAGTACCCAAACGTGTTCGTAAACATCCAACGTTGTTCCCGAATTTGAAAATGGTTTCTCAAATGCAAAAAAATGCAGCACATGGGGAATATGAGAAGAGTTGCGCCAGCAGACTAGTCATCTACATCACAGTAACTGTCCCTTCATCAGTAAGTTTATAGTCTGGGTTAAGACATTGTAGTCTTATATTGTCAAAATCAAGTCCATTGTAATTGCCAGTCGAAACATAGCGCCTGAGTGCCTTCGTTAATCCTGGCTCTGCGTCGCCGCAAATTACCATGGATCTGGTACTCATTGCTACGCGCCTGCCCGGTTCGGCCAGTTGGATTCAGCCTCTGCGTATTCACGGATGGCTTTAAACTTAACAGCTTCCATAAGCGACGTTTTTGAACCTGTCCATGAGTCATGTCGTGAAGGTAAGATTGAAACTCTCAATGTTGCAGACGATGCCAGCAGGTATGAAATGTTTTGCATATAAAAGAGACACAAATGTGCCTTTACGTTGCCCCACAAATTGGTGACCATGCGAATTGCGCCCCGGCTGCCTATCCATGACTAGCCCCAGGTTTATGGCAGTGCTGCTCTCGCTGAGTGCAGATGAGCCAAATCGGACATTGACCTTCGGACCACGTAGCACTTCACCATCCAGGTAGCGTGTTTTGTGAGCCCAAAACGACTTGCTGGTTTGTTGCCGCGCTGACGTCAGTGGATTAGAAAGACCCAGTGGGGACGCAATTCCCTAAGCACTAGGCCGGTAACGATGCCGCCGACACGCGACTCGCTCCATGCTGCCCGCAGCAGTGGCGGTAGTCGACCGTATAGAGCACCATCGTCTCGTGCACTGCCTCGAGAGTGACTCTCGAATGAACATGGTGAATGTGTCATCTTGCTCATCACAGTTCAGCGCGGCACCTGGATCCGCCAGCACCGCATCATGCGGTCCGGTACCTAGGTCCGACGCCATGCAGTCCAGTACCGGGGTCCAAGGCCATGCGGTCCGGTACCGGGGCCCGAGGTCACCGCACCATGCGGTCCGGTACCGGGGCCCGAGGTCGCCGCACCATGCGGTCCGGTACCTGGGTCCGAGGTCACCGCACCATGCGGTCCGGTACCTGGGTCCGACGTCACCGCACCATGCGTCCGGTACCTGGGTCCGACGTCACCGCACCATGCGGTCCGGTACCGGGGTCCGAGGTCACCGCACCATGCGGTCCGGTACCGGGGTCCGAGGTCACCGCACCATGCGGTCCGGTACCTGGGTTCGAGGTCACCGCACCATGCGGTCCGGTACCGGGGTCCGAGGTCATCGCACCATGCGGTCCGGTACCGGGGTCCGAGGTCACCGCACCATGCGGTCCGGTACCGGGGTCCGAGGTCACCGCACCATGCGGTCCGGTACCTGGGTCCGCCTCTGACTGTACTTGGGCCCGCCACTGACTGCCCCTCCCTCCGGCAGTTCGGGAACAGCGGTGACCCCGGGAGCTGAGGTCCGCACGACGCTCCACTCGCCGGTCGACCCTAGCGACCTGGCTTCGCTCCACTTGACCTGGCACGCGCAGGGCAGCGGCGGCCCGCGGGTCCTGCGGCCGGCGCGGCTGAGGGTGCGCCGTGTGGACGCCGAGCTCCGGGTCACGACTGACGAGCTGTGCAGTGACGCGGCTGAGGTCGGCGATAAGGAGACGGTGGCGTTCCGACCGTGTGCACCGGCAGGTCACTGAGGGCGCTGTGTTGCCTGGCCAGGTCACTGACAGAGCCATGTGTTAGCTGGCCAGGTCACTGACAGAGCCCTGTGTTGCCTGGACAGGTCACTGACAGAGCCCTGTGTTAGCTGGACAGGTCACTGACAGAGCCCTGTGTTAGCTGGCCAGGTCACTGACAGAGCCCTGTGTTAGCTGGCCAGGTCACTGACAGAGCCATGTGTTAGCTGGCCAGGTCACTGACAGAGCCCTGTGTTAGCTGGCCAGGTCACCGAGAGGCGCTATGTTCACTACCCGTATCAGCGAGTGGCGTTGTGTCAGCTGATGATGTTTCTCGGAGCGCACTGACTCGGCTTAGTTGGCGGTCAGGGACCATGTGACCTGAAGTATGCATATGCACCCGCTGAACGGAGTTTTGCAGGCGCAGGACATTGGGAGTATCATCAAAAAGCTCGCCTCGTTGGAGGTCATGTGACGTCACGCGGCGAACCAGGCTTAGTACTTGCCTCTGTTTTTGCGCGCGCTGATGTGGAATAACCGCAGCTTGTCAAGAATGGTGTGCACTCAGTTGATTCCAAATGTGACTTAAGCCGTTATTGATTCATGTGCTGTGGAGATATGCTATGCAATGCATGCACACCTAAGAAACACACAACCGGTGTTTGTGTTTTTTTTTAGTGTGAATGTCTAGACTATGAATGTCTAGACTAGAATGTCTAGACTACTGACCTAATCTACTGTATAAACTACTGAAACTGCTAATCACAGCAACATGTAATTTTCAGTGAAACCAATGCATTTGTTAACTAACGCTGCATGCACTGCCGGGAATGTTCACACCAGCTGCTTAATCAGACGTGATTTTTCTACAGCTTTGCTCTGTGAACAAAGTGCAACCCGTGGTATTGGTTTTGTAAGAGAAACGTAAAATAAGCTGCCGGCGTAGATCGACGTCGTGATGCCACCGAGCTAAAATTCCGTCGCCCCGCTATCACCGCGAGATGGGACCAGCGCCACCTGACGGGGGGGGGGGGGGGCATCACAGCCGTGCGAGCAGAAGCGGGTCCGTTGGTGCCCGCAGGGAGATGAACCCGAGCGTGAATTGTGGATCCACACGTGTGTGGGATGGTTTAGGAACTGATGCTGGCTGTTGGCGACTAGGACAGAGAAACACATGAAGCTGGATGCACGGTGTAGGTGACGGAGCCGGCAGTGTGCGGAAATTGTCACAAATTCGTCGACGTCTTTCGTCGAAATTGCCAGCCCTGGTAAATTCACAAACAGCCAAGTTGCACGCAATAGAATTAATGAATTACCGTGCGAACACTACAGTAATGGTCCTCTTTACCTACCAAACTGTTGTGAAGGGCCGGCTGTTCGATGCGTTGGTGAGGGTCGTACTTATTAGTTCATAAACGTGTCTCATCGCCTTACCTTAAATCTTGACACTTTGTAAACGAAGGTGATTGGTAAGCAAAAGCCCACATGTCTCCAGTCGCCTCGCTCGTTCACACTGGAATGAGCGAAGCAGCGGAGAGTCACAAGAGGAAGTCACGCAGAGAGTCTTAATGACTGTTTGTGGCTAAATAAAATAGCGCGTTTTTGATTCGGTGTGGTTTAGATAATAGCCTTTCATGAGAGTGATGACCATCCTAGTGCCGTGAAGTGAAGGAGAGTGGATAGCGGTGGGGCAAAACCGCATTCAAGTGCTGGCCATCCGCCGAAGATCGAGCCCGCAGAGGGGGTATTTGCCCGGCGGTCAGACGGGGTCTCACTGCAGGGAACACTTACGCCCAATCATCGCTGGTGCGTGTAGCCTGCCTCGGACAAACGGAGCCGCGAGCCTGCAGGGTAAAGCAAGCCAAAGCGGATAGAAGGGTGGATGTTGTGGTGGGAAATGTAATAACAAACTAGGAACCGAGCAAACCGGTGCTAGTATATGCAACCAACGGCAACGGTGGCATCCATAATTTGTAAATACCATAGCTCCCCTGCCAACGAAATCCAAAAACGTAGCTGGGCTAAAAACGTTGATCCCTTGCACTCCAGCCTGGTCAAAAAGTAGGTTTTTGCGTACCTATATATCATGTTTCATATATATATATATATATATATATATATATATATATATATATATATATATATATACACACACATATATACATATGTGTGTGTGTGTGTGTGTGTGTGTGTGTGTGTGTGTGTGTGTGTGTATACACGTATATGCATATATATTTGCGTACCTATACATAATCGAGCTTACACACGTCAGGTCTATGGCAAAGAGTGGTATGGTTTCTCCTTACTATGCAAAAAAGCACTTCAGAATGGTTGCACATAATGCAGTGCACCCGTCACAGGAACATCCTGTTGGCGCGGTGCGAAGAGCTTTTCTGGCAGCGGCACCGTTGGAAAAAAATAGCGTAGCCTCTGAAGTCACCACAAGAACATGACTGACGTACGTGATAAGCCGGTGAGGGAACAGCGTTTTCCTTTTGCTATCTGATTCTTATCCCCGTCAGACCGGTTAAATATCCCCCCCCCCCCCCCCCAGTGGCACAGCCGGAATCTGCTGTGGTCAACGTGTTCGGTGTGCTTTAACTGAAGAATGTGATTTTGTTGTGATGTAGCTGATAGTGTGATAACGATCAATTCTATCTACTAAATAGTTGATAGCATTTACTTGTGGGCGTTGTACTCGCACATCGGCCGGTTGCCCTACGCCTAACCCAGTGCCAGCTAAAGTTAGTCTTCATAAAATTTTGTCACTCTTAACGTCATACGCGATCAATGTATCGATGCCTAAATAGTCCCAAAGGCAACAAAAGTGTTGTGTAGTCCAAGTTCATGTGAATCATATTGATGAATCATTCCAACGAGTGGCTTATTGTATGATTCGGTGCAATTAAGGCAATAGTATGAGCGCATTGCGCTTATAACGTAAGCGCATTACATACACACAAAGTAGTACATACACACGTACACACAAACATAACATAAGCGCAATAACATAACATAATCAGCGCAAAACATGCCAACAACGCAGCCACATTCGCACGTGACCAATCATCCAGTCGTTCACACAACTTCGTCAAAAACAAAACCACTAACGAAAATTAAAATCGTTAAAGTATGTGGAATACCGGCAAGCAAGCAAAACTTACACAACAGGACCGGCTACATCGTCCACGTTGGCGCGAAGCCCCTTGATCGGAGGCATGAGAGCGGGTGTGAGAGGCGGTGATGGTCAGCAGCAGTTGGCTCCAGGGTGAAGTCGCGCGATACGAAAAAGCCGCGCATGCTACTCACAGCCGTAGAGCTGACAGATCAAGGGCGCCGTCGCTGCCGCCCGGGTGGCACGCTGGCGTACCGCGGCGAGCGGGGTAAACACGGACCAGATCACCACCGGACCCCGCGAGTCATCGCGGGTCCCGAATTCAGCGAGGCCGTCGCGGTGCGTGACCAGGTGACAGACTCCGCCCAAGTCCAGCGCTTGCACAGTTGTCGGCACTGAATCTCGCCGACGAACATCGGTGGCGATCTTAGCGCCAAAGTATGTTACCAAAGTATATTACCCCTATATTATATTAGTATATAAAGTGTCTGGTTAGGTGTCACATTCCAGCTCCATCCCAGACCGAGAGACAGAGCAGAAGATGAGCGAAATATGAGGCTGGATGAGGAGTTATCGAACCTCGGGCGTAAGGTGGTGAGGAATTTATACAAGCAGGAAATGATGGAGTGGCACTTTTGACAACATGGGAGATGCGCATCGCCCAACAAAAAGGCACTTTCATTGGTAACCTCCAGCATCTTCATGAGGGGCGAAGGGCTGATTTGCATCTAGCAATGTCAAGATGTAAAGAAGAGGTTTCGTTTAGGCCTCTGGAGTGCCGAGAAGAAGAGTCATTTTGGTGGGCTTTATTTTAAGCGAGTTGCATGCCAAGTAGTCTTAACCACCTGGACGGTTTCCTCCTGTTATGTAACTTCAATGCAATGCTTCTTGCCATGCAAGCGGTATCGGAGCTTTCTTTTTGTTGCCGTTGTTACGTCACGGCTACAGCCGGCTGGAGCTCGGCTCCGACGGTTCCGGCTCTTCGCCGGTTGAATACCCTTCGTGAATTGACCCCTGACCTCATCAGGGGTCGATTTGACCCCGTGAGATTTTGTTAAATGAGGTAGATAGAAAGGCCAAATGTGCGAAGTGGCTCAGTTTGTACGTGAACTCACTTGTGTCAAAGTTGAGGTTCCTAGGCCATGGCCTTCGGGTCAAGCAAGTGTCAGTGGCCACGCTTTACGGTATGTTCCTAAAAACCAAATATTGGCCTGGCTCATTCTAGGTGAGTGACCCACTCTGTCCCTTCAAAGTCCATAGAACATTCTTTTGTGGTCCCTGTCATCAACAAATTCGAAATGGGCACCAGAAACTATCCCATAACCCAAGCTTCCAAGTAAAGAACAGGTTAGTTTTGACCTGGGTATGACCTTCGTACCTGACTCTGGGTCATGGAATTCGTTTTAACTCTAAATTAAGCAAGCATTTAAGCAGGCGGGTCCCTGGCCACGATGACACAGAATCTTAGGAATGTTGCTGGTTGGCACGAAACTTCGGCTAACTGAGCATGCGCGCTGGCCGGCGTTAGCGTACCTTAAGTAGGGCGATGCCTTTAGAAAATGCTAAGCTTTAACTTACTCACATCGTTTCCAGATGTATTTGATTAGAAACACCGTACTAGCAGCTGCTGATAATGCCGCTGATACCCGCAATAGAATAAGTCCACCGCAACCACATTCGCGTCCGGCCCTACGCGCGTTTTGAAAAATTCAGGGTTTAAAATTACCGCGTTTGCGTTTTGCTTTTTTCACTTTATTGGCGCTCTGCCACGCAGGTATGAGCTCGCCTTGAACACACTCGGGTGCATTTCCGAGCAGGGCGCTGATTCGCCGCCATCCGCGTGGAACGGGTGGCGGCGAAATTTACTTTATAAAACGCTGAGCTTAAACATCAAGCTTACGATTTA